GGGAAAGGGTGACACGAGCCCTGGGGAACCTCTGGACAACCTGTGTGTCCGCAGGTACGTGACCCACCTGATGAAGCGCATCCAGAGGGGCCCAGTCCGCGGCATCTCCATCAAACTGCAGGAGGAGGAGAGGGAGAGGAGGGATAACTATGTCCCCGAGGTGAGGCTCTGGTGTCGTCTTTTCCACCAGTAATCCCAAACTTCTTTCAAACAAACCTTCAGCGAGAGGAGCTGGGGAGGGTTTGGATCCAGGGGACTGAGGGGGATCGCTGCAAACCTGCTGCCTGGGGCAGGGAGGGCAGTTGGCCTCTGGTGTTTGCATTTTCCTAACTTAAAATGGGGAGGAAAGCAACTCGAAGGGATTCAGGAGGATACTTGAGAGTGGCTCAAAACCTGCTCTGCAGGTTTTCTCTGGACGGAGCGAATTGGTGCGACTCACTCTTGCCTTAAACTTGTGTTCGGAAGGAGTCAGGACTTCACCTGTCACCTGGGCAAAGCACTCCAAGAGTGTTTCCCATGTTCCAGGGGTTTAATCTTAGCTCCCAGTCCCTGTAGCCTTCAGGCACGGTGCATCTCGCTCCTCTCCCAGACCTCCTGGCAGATACCTGCTGGTGTCTGTGCTGGACAAAACCTCTTGGTTCCATTACCTCAGTGCTCCCAGAGCACAGTGCTGGGCTGTGGTTACATGGAATGTATCCAGAGGTTACAGGGATGGAGTGTCTGTGCTGGAGCATCAGCTGAACCTGCATTGTTTGTGGTTTCCTATGCAAATCCTGTTGTGATACAGTTCTTGGGGAAGGAAACATGGAGATGGAGGTTTCTCTAGGATTCAAGTGCAGGGAAGCACAGGTGCTGGAGGTGGGACAACTTTGGCACTGGGGTGGAATTGCATCTCAGAGCAGCTGTGAGTGTCAGTGGGGACTGCCAGGAACGGTGCAGTCACAGACCCAGCCCTGGCTCCTCTGGGCAGCCTTGGCCTAGAGCAGGTTGGGCCTTGGTTTCCCAAAGTTTTGCTATAAACCAGGCTGTTCTCCCTGCTGCCAGTGACCCCTCACAGTGTTCTGTCGGGGGGTTCTCCATCAGAGTCCTCCTGGCCCTGCTCCTGGAGCCTTTCCCCACAGTGGCAGTGAGGTCTCATTTGTGGTGGGATGGGACCGGAGTGGCTGTGGGAACATCCCAGCGGCTGCGGAACCACCTCAAACCACCTCTCTCCCATCTGTCCCCAGGTTTCTGCCCTCGACCAGGAGATCATCGAAGTGGACCCAGACACAAAGGAGATGCTGAAGCTGCTGGTGAGTGGCCCTGGCTGTCCCTGCCCTGCTGGTGGCATGTCCCCAGCTCTGCTCTGCTGGCAGGCGAATGGCTTCGATGCTCCGGACACGTGGTGGAGGTCACTCCACCCTGGGTCCAGCAGCTGGATAGTTCTCATATGGATTTTGGGAGGGGAGAGGCATGGTGGCTTTGCCACTAGCAGGGTCTGTGTGCTCCTTGCCCTCCCTGAGGAGCTGATCTCTGGAGTGGGATGGTCTCCCCTTTGTGGGAGACCTGAATCCACCCACAGTGCTACCACAGCACTTTCCCACTCCTGCCCGGAGGAACCTGTGTCTGCCCTGGGACTCATCCCATTGCTCACATGCTGTTTTCCAGGACTTTTCCAGGACTTTGGCAGCCTGTCCAACCTGCAGGTGACACAGCCCACGGTGGGGATGAACTTCAAGACACCCCGAGGAGCTCTCTGAGTCCATCCCTGTGTGTCGCTTTTCCAATAAACCTGGGAAAACCATCTCAGCCTGCCTGGTCCTTGGACACCTGCATCCCCAGGGATGAGGGAGGGCAAGTTCTGGGGAGTTGTGTCTGAGGGTGTGAAGGACTCAACTCCTTCATGCTTACCAGCATCTTTTTGGATTCTTTCCTGGCTCTTTGGGGTGTGAAGAACAGAGCTGTTACGTTAGGGGCTTTCCTGTGTTTGGGGTGGTGGGAGAGGATGGCCGTGGTGGCTCCTTGGAGTTTGTGGGAGTGTGTCCCAGGTTTGGGTGTGCCTCCTCTGAGTGGTCAGGCTGTGCCAGAGTAAAAACTGCTTTTTATAACCAAGCTGGTCACTTTTAAGTGCTTAAATGAACGGGAAAGTCTTGAAGTTCCTTTATTTAATGAAAACAAGGAAAGCTCGGCATGACCCTCCAAGGAAAACTTCACAGCCACGGCTTAAACCACCCAGTAAGACAAAAGGTTTGTGTTTTGGGGAGAAGTGTTTGTTGTGAAATTTGTTTTTTTTAAAGAAAATATTTAACTAGGCAATACTGAAATACAACTAAGGTGCTGAGCCGCAGTGAGATAACTTACAAATCCTCTTTGCAAGCTCTGAAGTTGCAGTTTTTGCAATTTCCTCTTCACAATTTCCTCTTCATTTTGGCCTTCCCCTCGCAGTGGATGCTCATTTTGGTTTGGACCCAGTAGGCTGCGTAGCCTGCGGTGCCAGGGATGAAGTCCTGGAGTTCCCCCTCATATTTCTTCATGTCCCGGGAGGAGATGTAACCTGTGGGGGGAGAACACAGGATTCACTGTGCCCCTGTGCCGTGCCCAGCCCTTCCCAGGTGGATTTACCTGTCACCATGTTGTTCATGGGGTATTCCTGGAGGGTATGGTATGGTAACTCTCCCTGGGCAAGTGCTTCGGAGTCTGTGTCATCACTGCTGTATCAGGAGGGGAAAAAAACATCTGTGTGTTATCTGATGTGTTGGGATCTCTTGGATTTTTGGGGGTGCATCCAATTCCTACCACTCAGGGTAGGAAAATAACCTCTGGGCCTGGTCCAGCTCTTCTCCTGCCAGTTCTTCCTCACAGCTGTTTCTTGCTGCCTCTGGTTCCTCCGTTGGATTTCCTCTGGGCTGTGAGGATTAGTGCAGGGTGTTGGGTTCAAGTTGTGCCCTGGGTCCTTGCAGACCACCTAGGACACACTCCAAAAGCTTGGAATTCTTAGGGTTTGTGGTTCCAAGTGCCATTTTAGGGTTCAATTTTAAATCATGTTTTCCCTTCAAAAGTGCTGGGAGGTTGCTTGGAGAGGAGAGCAGGAAGCTGTGTGGGGAAGGAAATGACCACACCAAAGGGCTGAGCTCAACCTGCACCAATCAGAATCCACAGAATGGTGTGCCAGGACACTGGGCATCTCTCTGGGCAAGGGAGATAATCCCTCCAGTGCTGTCCCCACTGGGATGTGCTGCTGGGAGGGACACAAGCACAGCAAGCACAAGCAGATTGGATCCCATGTTTGGGCTGAGGGTCTGGGATGAAATCCAGGCTCCCTGGAGTTGACCTTTTAAGCTACACCTGTAGTATGAACGTCTCATCTTACCTGTTCCTCACAGGAATCCTCTATCTGCTCCCAAATGAAACGGCCAATTTTCCTCCTGATTTCTGCCATGACAACAAAGTAAATGACTGTGAGAGCATCAAGTACTGAGACCTTGTGGCAGTCACTGCCTGGGAGAGCTCCAGGCTCTCGGAGCTGCCTCCGAGGGCAATGAGGCCAAGTGCTGGTCCTGCCCCAGCCCAGGGCAATCCCAAGCACAAACACAGGCTGGGGGAGAATGGATTGAGAGCAACCCTGGGCAGAAGGATTTGGGGGCATTGGTGGACAAACCATGTGTACTGGCAGCTCCAAAACCCTCCGTGTGCCTGTGCTCATCCCCACAGTGTGGGCAGCAGGTGAGGGGAGGATTCTGCCTCTCTGCTCTGCTCAGGTGAGACCTCACCTGCTGCGCTGCCTCCAGCTCTGGGGCACCAACAGCAGCAGGATGTGGAGCTGCTGGGG